CTTTAGATTAATATATAAGATTTAATTAGTAAGCTATATAAGCTCATAAAATATTCCAAAATCTGATTAGCCAATCATACTCCAAGTTGTCTATTAAATCCAAACAGCAGCTTTCGACTTACGCTTTTCTCAAACAAGGAAAGAATACTGTGATCCACTAAAAATTTTCTCAGGTGCCCGACAACAGCTTCCAAAGCTTTGAGAACTTTATAACCTTCCCCTTGTAACTCAACAATCCTTTCATCGGAACTGGCATAGATAGGCATTTCATCTGCAAACACCAATAGAATGATCATCATTTGTCCTGAAGTAGAAAATGACTCGTGACACACAATGGACTTTAAAAACCAACCAAGAGTACACACGAGATACAATTCCAGATTTAGTTCCTGAAATAGTTATCAGAAATGTGAGAAATTTTCTTCTCCTATTCCAAATGTGATTACGTCAATACCCTTGCCAAGTTACCACCATAGAAGGATTGCTTGAATATTTTTCTTAAGAAGCAGGCTCAATCTCGTAATTACGGTTCATAGGCAAAAGAATAACAAATCAGAGCATGTAGCTTTCCCAAGCATGCAATAGCACAAATATGAAGTATATAAACATGATAATGTCATATAAAGATATTTTGATACCGCTAGAAAGCACCCGGACAGAAGCACCAGAATTTTCCTGGATAGACTTTATCAAGGAGCCTTGTTTTCCTATTAAGCTCATGGCTTGTGTTGATGCCACCAACAACCGGATGGCACAAAACGCTGTCGCAGCAGCTGCAGTGGCTTGACCGTCACCATCATTCTCAGGCAGTCCATTAACACGTTTAAATATTCTTATTACGGCATCCATTGCTGGGGACAATGTCGCTTCAGGTTCTTCCTTACCAGTTACCAAAACCTGTAATATTTTCCAGGTCAAAATCATGAGTTATTTGGTTTAAAGTTCAACTAGAACACAAACACAAAAGAAAAGGAGGATAGAAAAAAAAATAAAAAAAAAAAAGAAGGAACACATGCCAATTTAGAAGTAGAGAATAAACCTTCCAAACATAAAACAAAGATCTACGCAATAATGAAGACGTGGGAAATGACTCATATAAAACACCAATCAACACATCCACGCAAGTGTACCAGCAAAGCGAAACAAAAACACATATTTTTTTAATTCCCCGGCACATACTGCTCAAATATTTCACGCCAATTGTTCATACCAAAAATAAGTTAGTGCGTGACAGACAATGACAGACAAGAAAAGTGAACTAGAGAAACAAGAATACCGAGACAAAAAGCACCTTCTCCCCCAAAATCTGGTGGCTAGTACAGAAAGTCAGAAACCACAGGTTACAAATCCAATTTGAAACTTTTGACCAGACTCTTTAAAATTAAAAAGGGAAAAGAAAAAGTCTTTGAAACTTTATTTTGACAGTCAATGGAGCATAAACCATCCAATTGTTGTTTGCAACGGTTGAAAATAAGATCTATCGGGCATGGAAACAATGCAAGTCTAGAGTACACTAGATAAATTACTAACGTGATCATTAAAAATAAAAACCAGATAAACTTCCACACATCAAATAAGCCTTATTCTCAGTATCAAGAACCGACATAAGAAATGTTTGAATGGTGATGCCAGCCAAAAGTGAGATATTAGGAGGGTTCTTGGTAAACTTGCTACTGGGTGAAAGAGAACCTAATTAAATATTACTCGAAACTTCCACAAGTAAAGTTATTTACATTTCTCATATTCTAGTCCAGGAAAATAGATCCCAACAGCTTCTGGTAAATAAAGCAAGTTATGATATTCAAAAAATCTTCATAAAATATGTACTCTATCTTTTGGCTGATAAGAAACACAATGCATACATTTAAAAAATGAATTAAAACCCCAGCTTTAAGATGTATTAGAAGGTTATTACTCAAATAATAACAAGCTATCTCCCAACCACCTAAACTTAAAAATAAAAAAATAAAAAAAAAAATCTTTGTTAATGATCCACAACACACAACATAAATTTACCAAAATATTTGAAATACTTATTATTAATAAATTTGAAAATCTTAGTCCCCATCAATAATCAACGACATTGGGCAAATCATTCTCCATAATGATCTTTGAGCAAGCAACCATAGCTGTGTTGTCCCTGTACCTCATTTTTCTCTTGATAATCAACACCACAGCAAGAGCATTACTACAAAAGTGTGTCTCAGGACATGTCAAATGTTTTACATAGAGGATGAAAATGCAAAAGTTTTAAGGTGCCAAAAGATTGAATATATTATTATGGTGGACAAAATAACGCATATTAGCTACAAGCACTGGCACTTTCTTTATACTTATATCAACAGGAGGAGATCTTGGGCTGATTTTCAATAGGACGATACAGGAATCCACTATAGAGTCCCATTGCTGATTTTCCGTCTATCTCAGCATAATATGCATTAAAATTTGGTGGGCCATGTAATGCTTAGGTTGATGCCAGATCAAAAATAGGGCCCCATGATAGAACCCTGTATATGGATCAATAGAAAAACTGAACACTTAGGCTCTGACATTCCATGGAATGGGCAGCAAATTGCTAAGAACAAAATTAAGGAAACCTTGTAGTCGTTCATGTCAAGCTATCATTTAAGCTATAACCATGACTCCAGTCCCATGATTCTAAAACTTCACCTCAGGGGATGGTCATAGATATCCAAACAATTTCAGTAAAAAAAGAAAAAGAATAATCATTAGAGCACATTTACCCATAATCATCATTAACAACTATAAACCCTAGGAAAATATCATTCACAGCGCACGCCACTAGAAAAAGAATAATTATAGCACGCATATTCATAATAAAACTCCTAGATCGAAATTTCATCATAACCCTAAGAAATGGATCCAGAAGTAAAAAAATTCCCAACCACCATACGCAGTATTTGCTTAATTATACAGAGAAAAGGGTATAGAGAATTACAATGCGGTCCGGAGAGGTTATTGGGCCGTCCAGCACCCGAATCTTCGCACGGGTCTCCTCCACGAGCTTCTTAATGAGATCCCCTTTCCGCCCTATTATGCCACCTACCTTCAAAACCGGCACTACTATCCGGAACACCGTGTAACCAGGCCAGCCCGGCCATTTCGCCTTTATTTCCGCCAATTCCTTCTGCTTCTCATCAGAACCCTTCGTGTTAACCGCTGAGGGAGCTTCATCTTCCTCACCATTGTTTCCTGCCGCACCACCGGCGACTAATTGTTCCACGTACGTGGAGTTCGTCACGGCGGGGTCGTCCGTGCTAACGCCGTTGTCTGCGGCGGGCTGAGGTGAGGCCATCTACCGAAAAAATTCTTGTTGGGCTCTGGAGCACGAGGGTTTTGAGAGAAGGGTTCGGTGAGGTTATGAGAAAGCAGGAGAGGAGAGAAACTACCCTGAGGATGATTGTACATACACCTATTACATAAACTAGTAGTATGTACTTAAGGTGGTCTATTTATTTGAGAGTTTTAAAGAGTTGATTGGATACAAGTTTTGTTCCGAAAATTTCGGATTTCACTGTAGAATTTATGCTTGGATATAAATTTCTTTTAATTTAGCGGGTCCCACTTGAAGGTTGCATTTAGTTTTGTCGGCCAACCCATTCCTACAGCTGTAAAACCTATATTTACTCCAAATTAAAAATCAGCTGCAATATCTTATCAACAATTTTCTCGATTCAAACGCAAATATCTCCTCCTTCTTTTTAAAACCCATACCGAACATGGCGAATCTCCCACAAACTCCTTCTTCTTCACCAACAAAGAACAAATTTCAAGCTTTGATGCCCGAGGAAGAACCTCTTTGCAACCCGACCTCGTTCTTTGATTCTCCAATTCAAAGCGGTAGTGTTGGACAGAGGGCCGGCGACCAGAGGCAAGCACCACAGAAACGACCAATAACACCTCCGCATCGATCGGCCGAAGTTGGTGAAGCCGCTATTCGGGAGAATACGAAAAGCACGGGGAGCGTTTCTGTGAATTTGCCAGAGAAAAAAAAGAAGAGAAACATAAAGTTAATTTTAGGGCTTTTTGACATGAAGAATAGGTTTTGTAATTGGGTATTTCGCCCACACTATTTTCGGTTCTACTCAGTTCGAGCGTTCACAGGGTTTATGAACGGTTTTTGTGCAACTTCAATTTGGCATTGGTGAAGAAATCTGTGTCCCCGCAGACGGACATGGTTATTTTCACATTCATTTTTCAACTTCCTTTATTACTGTCCACTCATTGCTATGTTGCTAATATTGGTGAATAATTACTGAAGCTTTTCTCTTTTTTCTCTGTATTGTTCTTATATTGGGTTCACCGGTTTATATCTGCAACCTTGTGACACAACAATAATCTGAAAAATAAAAAACATTGGAACATATTTTTGAGTTGTATGAAATTGTAGATGTCCATGAGTTATGACCAAGACTATAGGAACTGCTCCCAAGGTGAAGCCAAATGGCCCCCGGAGAATGAAAAATGCTTCATCGACATCATGTTAGATGAGGTTCTTGAAGGAAATTGCGTCGACGGCAAATTCACTCCACAACAATGGGTGCAAATGACGGAGAAACTCAATGCCAATTGCCCGATGATATATAAGTACAGCACAAGGCAAGTTGAAAGTAAATACAGACGGCTAAAAAATACTTGGGCAAGGTTTTACAACTTGCGTAATAATGCAACGGGTTTCGGTTGAGATGAAGCGCGCGGTGCCATCACGGGCAGTGAGAAACTTGGGAAAAGTGGTGCTCTGTAAGTTCCATTTCAACTTAAAAGTTAATTTTTTTAGTTTGATCCATGACTGTTGTTGAAAGTGTATGCTAGTACTTATGTTTCAAGTTACCTTTACCGCTTTTATTGATTATTTCTTAACTTAATGCGCACCCGTACTCTCGGCATGCTTGCAATTAAATTGGTATATTATGCTGCTGCTAGAAAAATCACATAAATTATGATGCTACTTCCGGTATTAATAATTATATAAGATGCTACGTTATATAGATTAATGTCCACTGTTTGGGTATATTTCCATTTTTTATGTCCCAGAACTGTTGGTTGTGTATGAACTTGCTGTGCTGAGAAGAATGAAGTTGCTGTTTCTAGTGTCTGAGTAGGCAGGCTACTATATTTGGTTTGGTACATATTCACAACATGTTTCTTGTTCACAGGATGAGATTTGGTTATCTTTTTTATTCTTCACAGGCTGAGTTACATGAGGTTGGCCATTTGTTGATTTCTTTTTTTAAAAAAAAAAAATTAAGGCTGAGGTCATTTCTTTGAATGGGTATTGGTGGACATGCTTTTGTTGTTTGTTTTGGTTGATTATATATGTTGTTCTTATCTACGTGTTTCTGTAATTGTTTCATATAATTCATGAACTGTGTGTTTTCTTCTTTCTCCTTCCGTGACGCAGAGAAATCAAGATCATGATCTGAAGAGGAAGACGTGCGTACACTACGAAGAATTAACTACCATCTTTTATGGTTCGGCCGCAACTGGCCGCTGTGCGCGTGCGTCGACCCAGTGAGGAGAAGTTCAAAGAAGCATGGGTGGGCATGAAAAATTAGGTCAGCGGAGTAGGCCACTGCATTCCGTTGGAGAGGACGAGGATATGTTGTCACCGCAGTCCTAGGGAACAAGTGGAAGGAACAAACGGAAGTAAAGAATGGGCAAATCGTCATCTGTACTCCACTCTATGAAGGAGTCCGTGAGAGACATGAGTTACACGCTAGCACGTCTGAAGGAGGAGCAACCGGATCAAAAGGAGCAGAAGGAGGTGCTGCTTCTACTTGATGCTATGGAGCTTCCCGAGTTTGCCTACAACGTTGCTTTGAAGAAGATACCAGATGCGATGGCCCCATCATATGTTTCTGAACACGGCGAATGACCGGAAACGACGCCTACTTGTGGAGGTTTGGGTTGAGGAGGGTGCTGGAAGTGGGTGACGACGAGACGACGAATCTTTGTTTGCGATATGATTATCGAGAACTTGTCTGTGGTTGCTTTTTATTTGCTTGGACTGCTTTTTCACTCATTAACTAAACTTGCTGTAGGGGTTGTGTATTGAACATTTTTGTGTGCTTGCTTTTTTTAGGACTTGCTTGGACTGCTTCTTTCCCTCATTATCTTTTTTTTTATATGTTATGTGCCTTGTATCATTATATATATTTATATTCTCAATTAAAATGATTTGTAGGATGTCTTACGTCGACACTAATGGATATGACGACGTAGTCGACATTATGGAGACAGAAGACGAATCCATCGGGCCTTTCGAACCAAACGATGAAATGGATGAAGATATTGTACAAGATAAAGATGTGAAAAGGCGCCCTCCTAAAATTGCACGAGCAATTAAATTAGGCATTATTTTTGTGTCCATTTAAAAAAAAATCGTGCGACTTATGGAAAGCTCTCCGTCCACATTCGAACGGCGCCAGAGAAAACCCTTCCGCGAGTCAAGCATTACGGGAATGCAATGGATAAACGAGCTTCTACAGGGGAACCCTAGGAGATTTTACTATGCTATGGGTGTCGATAAACAAGTTTTCTATCGTCTATGTGAAGAAATGCAAAGGAGAGGCGTTCATGCCCATCACAAGCAAAGAAAAGTTTGCATTCAAGAAAGTGTTGGTATTTTTTTGCACACAATAAAAGGACATCAACAACATAGGCATTCAGCTGAATCATTCAGACGATCTACTGAAACTATTTCACGACATTGTCATATCATTATAACCGCCCTCGCTGATATGGGCCCGGACTACATCCTACCCCCAGACGTGAATCGGGTGCCGGCTTAGATACGCAATAATAACAATTTGTATCCGTATTTCAAGGTGACAATTTTTGTAGTCGTATGATTTTACTTCTTCCACTACTCTTCACTAACATTTAACTCTCGTTACTGATAGGATTGCATCGGCGCAATTGACGGCACCATAATACCAACATGGGTTCCACATGGTCACCAGGGGGCTTACAGATACAGAAAAGGATATCTAGCGCAGAATGTCATGGTCGCCTGTGATTTCGACATGAGGTTCACCTTCGTGTTGCAGGATGGGAAGGTAGCGCTAATGATGCCCGAATTTTCAAAGATACGTTGTCCAATCCGAGGTATTAATTCTCTTTTCCACCACCGGGTATGTCCGCCTTCTCAAATTATCTCTTTTAATTAAATAAGCGTTTTTTTAATATAAATTCACTATTTCTTGTGTACTTTTTAATCTAATGGAATATTTGGTAAATATTATGTTCTTGATTCTGGGTATTCAAATCATCCCCGTTTTTTGGCGCCATACCGCGGCGAGAGATATCATCTGCCCGAGTGGGTCGGGTCAAATAGGACCCCGAGAAATTGCCATGAACTATTTAATAAAAGGCATGCAGTTGTACGCAATGTTGTGGAACGGTCTTTTGGTCTCCTTAAAAATAGGTTTCCTATATTGAAGAATTTAATGCCGAGGTACTCCCTTAAGTCGCAGACAGACATGGTTGTTGGTTGTTGTGTTTTACACAATTTTATACTGACGCATCAAGAAAAGAATACGACATCGGCGGCGTGGTTACAGCCCGATTTTGTTCCCCACCATGATGGGGATGATATGACATTCCCTTTTATGGATAGAGTGGTCCGTCGACGGCCGGCGAAGAGGAGCAATGTACATTGCGTGATAGCATTGCAACAGCTCTCTGGGAGGATCATGTGAACTGAAATCGCCGTTGATGTATTTTTTTGTTTCGTCCTAACTATTTGATTTAACAGGTCGTTCTTTGTGTAACATCCGTGACATTTACTAGTACTCAACATTTCAGTAACCATCTTATATTTGTTATCGTATGTATATATTGTATTATATCGTATGATANATATATATATATATATATGTTTATATATTTATGTATTATATTATATTATATTTATATATGTTTACTATTATATGTATGAATAGAAAATCGTCATACACACTTATGAAAGAAACTCATGTGTCCACTATATTTTCAATATATGATACTGATATTGGTATATTAGTATATACATATATACAAAGATAAGTATATATTAGTATAATATATACTAATATATATTATATATTAGTACTACTCATACACACTTACGAAAAAAATTAATATATTATTATTTTTGGTAGTATGTAGAATGCAAGCACAATACATATTATTGAACCGAAAGATTAATATATGTGTCTCTTGCATCACACGGACAATATAGTTTAACGAACACAAATTAATTTCAACCGACTATAATTATGAAAAGGGACCCAAGGGTTATAATTATTTTCCTCACCCACACCTTCATTTTTTTTATTTTTTCTTATATATTTTTTATTGTTGTTTCCCCCTTTAAATAGACTTCATCATGTGTTCTGCCCAACACACACCTCCGAGCAAACATGTTAACCTTTCCCTTTCCCACAAATAAGAGCGTACACTTTCAATTTGTGCGAGATGGATTTTGCCCATAAATGGAATTCATCTAAGGGAATTATTTTGTCTAATAGTCAAAAGATTCGTTGAGACAGAGGACATGACAAAAGAATCTGACATCCTGGACGCCTTTGAAAATATTCACCAAGCGTGTTTGACAGAAATTGATCCGAATCTCACCTTGAAAGAGTGCGTTGTCACGTTCATGGTCCTAAAAGAAAGGTACCGTAAGTTTAAATATTTGATCGACACACCGAACGCGGTTTTTGACGTCAACGATAAATACGTACATCTTGACGGGGAGATTGCAATCGACGTAACCGAAATTCATCTTTCATTTTTAGCGTCTACTTTATTTGTCGAAAACAATATCATAAAACTCAATCATGCACGTACTTTATCATGCTTCACGTTGTTTCTCGTTTACTTTTATATGCTTTAGCACTGGCCACTAGAAGAGCATTATTTTAACAATCCAGAGCCTATGTGGGATACCCTTACGAGGACATTTGCCGATTTAAGTCTAAACAAATAGCCGGGTGAAGAGATTTGGAAAAGGCACCCTGATTTTCCGACGTTTCATCAATTGATAGCCGACTATTGGGCCGAGAGGCGCGACAGGTGGTGCGTAGAAGGAGGCGTTACAAAATAAAAACCATTTTGGCTGCATTGTTCGATTAACAGTGTCAATGTATTTTCAATTTCTGTATTATGTAATGTTGCGAAGTGTTTGTACCTGCTTTGCCTAAATGAATCAAGATTTCTTTAAACTTCCTCTTCTACGGTAAATTCTTTTTATAGTTCTTCAAAACCGTGATATATGTTATTTTTTATTGTATTTAAAAAATATGTACTAGTTAAACATGATAACTTAAAAAAAATGATTGCAGAAGCAAATAATTACACCAAATTGTATTGTCAATATTTGTTTTTTTTTAATTTTTTTAAATTATTATATGGATTACTGTGAACTGTATCATCCAAAAGAAATCAATTGGTGCAACCTGTATTACAAACCAACATTTACACAAACTATTTATTATATTACATGTTACCATTTGTAATAAAGAAAAGGCTTGTAATAAAGAAAGCAAAGGCTGTATTAATGAAGATGACTTTGTCATGCAGATGCTCTGTACTAGTATTAACATACATACTGTGGTGAATAAAAAAAAAGGACTTGCGCATGTCACTTCCCATATTGAGATTGGGAATCACATGCGACAACTTGTGATAAATAAACCAAGAGATGTGCCCATAATATAATACATATTCATGAAGACCATGTTGTAGAAGGTGTGTAAAATCAGGAGGGACGTCCATATCGCTCACATGCTACCACTGGTGATAAATAAAGCAAAAGATGTTCCCATACTTTGTCATGAAGACCATGCTGTAGAAGATGTGTAAAATCAGGAGAGGGACGTCCATACCGCGACCATGCTGTGAATATCTGAACAAAAGCCTGCGTTATTTATTTATTTATTTTTTTTTTGGAAGATAATACAGCAGCATGCTCTCTTCTTTTTTNGAACACGCGGGAAGACTCATACTATAAAATGGGAGTTTGCTATGGGATTTTTCTTGCACAAAACATCAGACCAGTAAAAAAAAAAACTAGTCTAGGAAAAAAAAGTTTTAATATGGAAGCTCCTTTCTGCTATTGCGGGCAGGGTCGTATGATCCTTTTAATGGCAAAAACCGAAAAAAACTACGAAAAATATTTTTTCCGATGTCCCGCTCGTCAAGAACACCACCGGTGTTTCATTTGGGCGGACGATGTTCATCATCAATATTCTTCACAACCGAGTCAGACTACATTCTGGAATGGTCACGGTAATTCTTCACAAACAACTGCAGACAGCGGGCATGCAACAGAATATTCTGAAACCGCTGGCACATGGACGCAACCAATGACGAACAACTCGGGCAATACTGATTCGGCTTGTTTGCTTTTATTTTTTGTTCTTGGACTTTTCTGTTGTGTAGCCATTCTCAAAATTCTCGGCCTGTAATGCATAATTGATTTCATGTTTCGCCCGGTTATTTTTTTTTTTAAAAAAAAATAATGCTAGAATTGATTTCATGTTTCGCTCGGTTATTTGTTTATTTTTTTTAAATATCAAACATAATAATGTTATGCTAATATATAATATCGAACATAATTATATTATGCTAATATCGAACATAAGAATTGATTTTCGTTTTTTCGCTTTTTTTTTTCCATAGGGCAACATTTTTTTTTTTCAGTCTGAAACCAAAAAATAATGGCGATACATTCAAAATGGCGGGACCTATGTCAAAATTATTTTGATATTATTATGTCCAAACCGATTTGGTGATAGACCCAAAATGGCGGGCCCCACATAAGGTGCAGATAGATAACAGATTTCTTAAATCATTTTCGGATATGAACAGTGTAAATCTGGATTTTTTTTTAACAAATTTGTATCCAAGCACACTCTAAAGATTTATTAAGAATTTTGGTGTATTTAATTTGGGACGGACTACGAACATGTACGTCAGGTAGCCTCGTACATAGCTAACATCAAGTAGCCCCTCTTTCACCATTGTTGATGGATGGATCCGATCAACGGTTAAAATACAACGTGATGAAAATGCGAAATGGAAAGGTGGAGAGGAAGTACGAAATAATCACAGTTTATTATATAATCACGAGGTCGGCCTCTCGTATGAGGTCGGTACCTATCTTACAGTTCGCAGAAATCGGTTACGAGTGTTGCAAATGCTTAGAGAGAGAAAGTAGAGAGGGAGATTGTTAGTTGATGATTCAACAACCCAAAATAAATGAAGGATACTTCTATTTATAGTGTTCTTTAATGCGTCATTGTTCCTCCACTGTCCAGGTTGTCTTGTCGCACAGTGAGCCTGAAAGACAGGCCGACATCTCTCTGACTGATTGTGAGTAATTTGTGGATCTTCTAATGATTACCTGCAGAGCATTTAATGCTGGCATGGGCAACATTTAATGCTGGTAGGACCTCTAGCCAGACTAGGTATCCTAAGCTGTCAGGAACGTGGTGGTATGTCCCATCCATAATCATTGTCCAACAAGTAGTAGTATTTTATTATTTCCGAGCCCCGCGCCTTTCCGTGGGATAGCCGTTCTTGAATTTTCGATCGGCAACCTAGCTCGTCACCCGCCTCCGGTCTTCAGGATCCATACTTCAGGCCGTCACTTGTTCGAGGTCGACATCGGCGCCTCGACGATAGAAATACCGGCCTCGGAAACAAAATCACCCGGGTCCGACGCCCATCCTTTATTTAGACCGATCTCGGTACTTCTAAGTCTGGGACGGATCGCCGACCCGGCTTTCGATGGTGTCACGCCCCGTTTCCTCTCAGGACGAACTCGAATGTCAACATACTGGCCCCCAAGCTCGGAGGGGGTGCCTTTGGTATCCCATGTGAGGTCATCGTTTTGAAATACGTCCGAGTTCAACCGTCTTGATTATAGCTCGATAGTGTGCGAGTTCGGCGCGTATGTTTAACTTCGCAAAATTTTTCCTTCTGTAACCGCGCTCCAATAACTAGATCTGAAGCGACGGGTCATTTAATGCGACTTGCCTGTTACGCTTATTGTCGGTCTTGGAAAGTCGCGTCATGTCAGAACCTTTCCACGTGGCGCCGCCCAATTTGTCCGCGTCGAGCAGCGTGTCGTTTCATCGAACGACGATTTTGGGGGCGCGTGGCATCCACGCTATTATATCCCAGCCGTCGGATCGCATCCTCCGTGGCCGTTAGATCGTAACTTTATTTTTGAATTTCAAAAGACGTGCCACGCGTCGCGTCGTGAATGGTCGATGACTTATATATATATATACGCCTTTGTCTTCCTCGTGAGGTTTTACTGTTTCCGATTCTGAGCGACCGAAGTTCTTGAGCAAGATTTCTGAGGCGATTTTTTGGAATTTCTCCGACGATTTCCATACCGGTAATTCTATTTCTCCTCTAACTCTTCTTCTCTTTTTCTTTTTCTCCAATTATGTCGGATTTTTCTGGTTTCGCGGCGGATCTTCCTGTCGGGGACGAGGGATACATGGCGGAGGAGACTGGGGAGATGGTGGTTTACTCTCCTCCGACAGTGGGGGCAGCGCAACCACTCAGGGTCATGCCGGCGGCGACGAGTCCGCGCAAAGAAAATCATCTGGAGTTCCCCACGGTCGAGATTATTGACCTTGGCTCTAGCCAGTCAAATGTCGCGGAGGGCGAAAAAGAAACCGGCACCAATTTCACTGAAGAATCTGACGTCGATGCCAAGCTTGTCGACGAGACTCTTCGGGGCGACACCCATGGGCGAGAACGGGTCCCTATGGGTCGTGAGGACGCCGAGACCGATGTCGCGGTCGAACCCGCGACCACGGCTCCTCCGGGGTGTTGGTGCCGCCCTCCGCGTGTATGGTCGTCTGTCGCGTCGGCAACTGCCTTAACAACCGCGTCGGTTCTGGGGGATATCGACCTCGCCCAATTGAGGGGAAGAGCTTGCTTCGGCCTCGGGGTCAGAATTTTTGCTCCTTATGCAGGTGAACGCATTCATTGTCCCCCGCCGGGCTACATCAGCGTCTATTGCGTGACTATCCTGCTCGGCCTCCGGTTCCCGCTACCCGGGGCTCTAAATGACGTCCTGAGTGACCTCGACATCGGCATCAGTCAGCTCGTACCGACAGTTTTTTCCCGGTTGGTCAGCCTCATCGTTTTGTTCCGTCAGCAAGGCTGGGCTGACCCGGCTAGTGACGACGTAAAAGCCCTGTTCGTCTTCAAGAAATCCGGAGAAACAGGCAACTATTATAGCTCGGTCTCCCCGGGCGTGGATAAATATTTGATCTACAAAGTCCCTGAGTCGTTGCACGACTACATGCCAGAGTGGTTCTGGGTCGGCGGCGAGTGGAAAACCCCCGATGCAGCCCGACATCCGTCTACTCAGTTTATCTCCGGCAAATGTGAGTTGTACTTTTTACCTGTTTCTTCCCTTCTGATTATGCATTTTTCCGTGCTAACAGGTTGGTATTTGCATTTCAGTCCACAATCAGCGCGTTGAGCCAAGTGACGATCTGGTCAAGAAGATCGACACCTTATTGGGGCTTGCGGATGGGAAGCGATATTTCAAGGACCTCGTTGCTGAGGAGAGTCTGATCCAGCACGGCCTTTGCCCCGAGTACAACAGCAAGTCCTTTGAGCCCGGTACCGTCCCGTTCCTTTGGTCACCTCAGACCTTTTTCTCATATTTGCTCTCACCTCATCTTTTGTTTTCCTCGGGCAGTGTACTATCCTCTCCTACGTGAGTGTGGATTCAGTTCGGTCAAAGAGGCAACAAAACACGCACGCGCTCACTCGAATTCGTTGAAAGAAATGAAGATGGCCAGCCGCATGGATTTCCTGATGAAGTAGGGTAAGAAGAAAGTTTCGGGCTTGAGCTCGATGGGGACTTCGGATCCCGCGCCGCCGAACCTAGCCGTTGAGAACGCACCTCCTCGGGAAACTGAGGTATCCTCTGGCCCGGTGTCGATGGCCCCGGAATTCGTTCGTGTGGGCCGGGCAGGTGGCCGGACAGGTGTTCGTGAGACCGCTGCCGGCCGCGGCCGAGGTACTGCCAGCTAGGGTGTCGCCACACGGCAGAAAAAACACCGGCTCCTCGCGGATGAGCCGGACTTCGGGGAGGGGCGGAGGCTAGGACGCGAGATGTGGCTCCTCCGTCTCCGAAGAGGAGTAAGGCAGCCAAGGTCGAGAAAACTGCCTTGGCGGACGAATCATCGGCCTTTGTCCATCAGGCCGTATCTTCCACCTACATACCCGTGAACCCGAACCGCAAGGCTAGCCTTGCCAAGAGCCTTGAGCAGTTTCCCGATTAGTGGTTCATTGATTCGAGATCGGCGACTCCGTTTGACTTGCCCAATCCCTATCACCTGCCTGTTGAGGTAATGTCTGCCGCACGAGCCGTGATGACCGCGTGGACCCCGGTTGCCGAAATGGCGGTGGCCATGCTCTCACCAACGCAGCTCGTCTAGCACTCGATGGCGACCATGGGCTGGGCTATGGTCGAGCTGGTGCACGCTACCGGGGTCATGCAAAGGGAGGTGGTTGCTCGCAACAAGGCTGAGGAAGACCTCGCCACTTGTAAGGACCGCATTAGCGAGCTGAAGGACGAGTCCAAGAGAGTTTCGATGCTGGAGAACGAGCTCGTCCTTCAGCAGGGAGCGGCTGTCAAGGCGAAGGAGGCGGCCGCCAATGCAGCTGAGGATTTGGCCCGCGAGAGGGCTACGTGGGTCTAGAAGATGGCCGAACTGGAGAAGCGGCGGGCCGCCGAGAGAGTGAGAGGCGTCGGGCTGAGGAGGTGGCCGAGCTGGAGACGAGGCACAAGGCCGATTTGGCCCATCTTGCCGAGCTGCATGCCGCTGAGGTCGCAGCGCTCACTAAAAAGCACGAGGAGCGAGTTGCCGAGCTTGCGGACTATGGGTAAAAGATGGCCTCCCAGGTTTGCCTTCTGAAAGAAGCCGCAAAACAGATCGACGGCGAACCCATAGCTCTTCCCCCGCCGTCCACCGTCGCCGAGGTCCAAGCTCAGTACTTTGAGGAGATGAGGGAGAGCATGGACATGGCAGCGGCGTTCAACCTCTACTGGTTGTTCCAGCGAATCGACGTCAGGGTGCTTTCCCTTGAGGACTTCAGGGTCATACTTCGCGAGAAGGCGGGACGATACGACCTGGATTTTAAGGGCCAGATCTGCGATATCAAAGCTGACGAGGCCACTGTGGTTTGTAGGCTCCAGGGTTGGGCCGACGACGTCGTCGTTGGTTTTCAGAATTTTGGTGTCGTCCCTTCTGTGGAATCGTGGCTTCTGGCCCCCCGGGAGCTCCTTCCCGATTACGAGCCATTCGGGTCTGAGGTTGACTCAAACCCAGGGTTCCAGCTGAGGCGCGGTGCCGTATTGACGGTAGTAGCCGAGATGGAAGAGGCGGAGGAGATCGCCAAGGCGGTGGCGGAAGCCGATGACAGG